CTCTGGCTTCCATTCACTATCCTTTGTGCACTCACTGGCTTCATCAGCATACTGCTTAACCAATTATGGCAATTATGTTGTTTCCTTTGTCAATTACAATGTATGTAGTTTCATTGTTATACACAGTATAAATATGCAGCTCCTCCACTTCATGTATCACTCTTGCTTGACAACGGTACAAGAATCTTTATCGAAACGTCGCACTCACGAAATAAAGAAGTTGTTATCCAAGCCGGCGAGCATGACCACCCGATCTCGTTAGTCACCTCTTACCACAATCACGGGTTGCTGAAGACCAATTCTAACCCGGATCTTCACCGCTAGATTTCCATACAGCATCGAAGAGAAGAGGGATTATGATATTCATGTCCTCTGTTGGTTTGTCTCCATTGTTACTGGTTAATTATAACGTAGGGACATTCAAACATGTGGTCGGCGCACGTTAAAAGAGTAAAGGCTTCTTGAAACAACTGACCGTCTGGTTTGGGGCGATTGGGAAACTTAAGGTTTATAAATTATAGACTTACGTAACCTATATACTTAATCACTAAATATAACAATATATGAGAATCAGTCTGGAGCCAAGGGGTTGCAAAATTGGATTCGAACCTTAAGTTGGGGTCAAAATTATATTTCTGAGTTTCTGTCTCAGACCTGCAAAACTTTGGGTTGAAGTACTGCCTCCTGTTCAAAGCAAATAGATACAGGTTGTGTTTGTTTTGTCAGTTTCGTTTGTTCTTTTAAGCCTCGCATGGCACTAGTCCAACTGCAAGACAGCGGACTGTGGATATTCGAGATTGTACCGGGCAATCCTGTGAATGATATTTAGAGGCATGTTTCAAGCCGTCGTGACACGCTATCAAACGAGTCAGTTAGAGTGACTACCGATCCGTTTGGTCACCTATTACTACCAACACAACACAGTGACCAGTTCTAACCAGGGTGCCGTTTCACGAAAGCCTCTTAGCGCTACGACGTCCTAAACCACATCGTAAACCAGGGCCCCGTTTCACAACGGGGTGCTGTCGTAGCACCACGAATGTCGTACCTCAGCTCTTAAATTTTTATCTTAGTGGAAGGGTCGTAAATCATTACGCTGGGACATCCTAAAGTCGGTCGTATCCGCTAGCACGTCATAGCTATGAGAGGCATTGGTGAAACGGCAACCACAGGATCCCGTTTCACAAAGGTATCGTAGCGCTACGACTTCGTACCTCCTATACTGTAACATAGACTCACGACAGTCGTAGCAGGAACCTCTAAGTAATATAACCAAATGACTGTTCAAAGACTCACTACCAAACTCAATTTCCACAAATAAATACCTATAAAGTCGGAGATAGATTGGAAGTCCTTATACATCATTTCGACGACCTCTTCCTCCGTGTGGCGACCCAATCCCTGACTCCATGTTTGTTTTTTAATATCATCCATAGAAAGAACTTGGAGAATTTAAACGTTTCCAAAATAAACGATGCGTCTCTGCTGTACAACCAGCGGATTTGGGCAAGCAACCTGGATCGGAATCATTTCAAATCATCAGTACGTTGGAAATATGCTATATGTCTAAATAGGGAATTGCATCAGACATAATTTTTGTCACTGATGCGTCAGTTAATTATAAAACCTACCTTCAACTTATGAAAAATGGCAAATTATCTTTGATATTGCAATTCCATGGCAAGATATTTTTAGAAAATATAGAAAATGTACAAAAGATACTAAATTGATTGACTTCCAGTTTAAATTTATCCACAATATTGTCTACACAAAGAAAGAATTATTTAGAATGAAATTAGTAGATGATAAACTTTGCTCATTTTGTAATTTAATGTCAGAAAATTTGATACGTGTTTATTGGGAATGTGAGTGTGTGAAAACGTTCTGGCTGAAACTGAAAGAATATATTGAAGATAAATCATCAGAAAATTTTACCCTGACAAAATATACAGTCTTAATAACGACCTTATGAATCACATACTTCTTGCCAGTAAAAAATATATCCATATATCAAGTATTAAAAAAAATAAGCTATCACTGGATACATTTGTGAAACTATTGAGTGATATTTTCAAGACAGAAAAGTTTATTGCCAGTAAGAATCAAAACATATTACAATTTGACAGAAAATGGTCATCTCTACTGCACACATTCCCAGCTTAATGAAGATTCCAATATGTGTAATGCCAACCCATATGAATATCTGTTTTACGGTGTACAAGTGCTGTTACATCATGTACTTTGTATATTTGTATCTACTGATCCTGAATGAATAAAAAAATTAAACCAAAAAAAATTAATTAATATGTCTTCCATATGAGTGAATTTAGTTTTACGCCGCACTGAGCAATAGACCAGCTATATGGTCTGTAAATAATCGAGTCTTGACCAGACAATCCAGTGATCAACAGCATGAGCATCGATCTGCGCAACTGGAATACGATGACATGAGCCTGACCACCCTATCTTGTTGCATGGGTTACTGAAGACCAATTAAAGTTGACGTACCAGTACCACCCCAAGCTTATGATTGAGGAAATGTATACACAGCGTGGTGTCCCCAATAGGTTGGCCATTGTACTCAATCCAGGGGACCTTGCCCTTAGGTGAAGGTTGCATTCCATGGATGGAAAACGTGGCACGGCATGAGGAACTATGCGCAGAAGAAAAACTGTGACTTATGTGAATATATACCATTCCAAAAAAGTAGGGGATATTGGATTTACAAGATTGATAAAATGCAAATGATGAAGCCAAGGAGGAAAGAGATGATGAAGAGAAATTAAGGGTTAATGTGACAATTTATTCCATTCCTTTGGAAATGTTTCATCTGTATGGATATATATTATTTTTCTCATATGCATTGGCATTGGCTTGTGGTATGCTCGAAAAATGGAATATCCCCTACTATGTTAATGGTATATGTAAACTAGGAAATTTATACATGATACTGTAAGTGATGTGTTTCTTGAGTTAACCTGAAGACGCGACGTTACTCGATATCTCGTGGTCTTCCACGATATAACCGGTGTAACCTTCTTCTTGTCCCTTAAACCTCTTACACACGCATGTATGCACAGACAAACGCACGAACGGACGGACACACAGAGCCTTCTTCGGTGATCTCGTTTTGGTTTACAAAGCAATCGCCTCATATATTACCATAAGTATGTATGTCTTGTGTAACGAGGTTCTGGGCAGAAGATGAGTGATTAACTGCAAACATCAACTTTCACTGCCCATTGGTTGATAGAATGAACAACAGTATACACAGCAGGATATACACAAACAGCCAGGTCACAATGTATACATATATTAGTTGACAACAATGTAGGAATTACCAATAAGCTGTGACTGTTATCTCCGATCTCGAACATTGTAGTCAGTGAAGTCAGAGTCGATTTATGCTGATCGGGTGGTTACAATGTGTATCTGGCTGACTGTGCACAATGACTTTTGCTTCGATGGTTTGTTCTGTCCTTCCCAGTGGTTTACCTCACTCACTCACTCAACACCTCATTCACCTACCTGGTAGGGTATCCTGGCCATCCGGAGATAGGTTTCCAGCTTCACAGCAAACGGTGTCATGCTGGGGGCGTAAGGACCTCTACCGATCTGATGAAGGATCACCGTATCTCGGGGATACTCTTTACGCTTCTCTCTATACAACGAAACAACGTTATTGTAAATGACCGTCCCTTAAGACCCAGTACCCTCACCCCTTAACCGCATTGCAGATAAATGTATCAGTTTCACTGGCTAGAAATATGTCTCCAGCTTTGCTTGTGACATAGTTAAGGATTCATTACATGGAAAATATACTAAGCTAACTCATAATACGGTACAAGAACGGTACAAGAATCTGTATCGAAACGTCGTACTCAGGAATAAAACGAAGTTGTTATCCATAAAGTTTGTTCTATATTGTACTTCCCAACTGCTAAAGTGCCACTCAAAGAAACAAATCTTTGAATGGTGTTTATGACGGGTAGTCATCCAAAATTATACTGAACATATTTTCTATGATATTATCTGAGGGCACACCATTATCCAAGACCTACCAAATGATTGTTTTTCATTTTCCTCAATTTTTTAAAGAAATATTATACCTTAATGGGTTGTAACCGCATCCACATATGTGAAATTTTGGATATGGCTTTGCTAATAATTTCTCCAAAATGAAATGGAAGCATTTCAAACATTGGACATCGAGAATATAGTTAGGCTGACTACCTTTTGAACGTCCCTGGTATATACCACCCAAAATCATCTCAAATTATTTATCTGTACCCTGTAATCTCTCCTTTGGGTAAGTTCATTATACCAGACAGGTAAATGCCGCGTGTTGTTTTAATTAATTGTAGGGTTACTGGGTGTAGGGTTTATGGGTTGTAGTGGTTTTGGGAGACAACCATATATACAGTTGTGGCACACTGTGAAGTAGTCTAAATGACCCTCAAGAAGGAAAGTCAATACTTTTCAAGGGTGAAGTAGTCGAAAAGCTATAATCTTGAAAAATAATGCCTTGTCTGTGACAGAGGAATACAAGAGTGAGTGAGTGAGTTTAGTTTTACGCCGTACTCACCAATATTCCAGCCTTGTGGCGGCGGTCTGTAAATAATCGAGTCTGAACCAGACAATCCAGTGATCAATAGCATGAGCGTCGATCTGCCAAATTGGGAACCGATGGCATGTGTCAACCAAGTCAGCGAGCCTGACCACCCGATCCCGTTAATCACCTCTTACGACAAGCATGGGTTAATGAAGGTTCATTCTAACCCGGACCTTCACCAGTTAGATAAACAAGAAATATATGAGAAAATAGTTTACCATGTGAAAAGGCGAAGGAGCTAAAGCTGATGTGAGACATTATCCATTATGGTCAGTCAATAATCCGGGTGAACTATATCTATATGCCAGGTATCTTTGGACTCCCAACATAAAACTAAAAGCTTTCAGTATCACACCTGACTAAAGAAACAGGCATAAACTTAATGTGGTACAAATGTCCACACCGTGTTGTCTCCCTTTACTTGGTTGCCTCCCTTGTTCCACCATGAGTGATGCACTGGTCCCAGTCAGGCCAGAATGTTTCCTTCATACGGTTACAGTAGGCGGCCAGGTTTGGGTATTTGTCTAGGACACGGACCAATACGAGATAATAAATGTTAAATATATGACTGACTGTTTAAATATCATATAAATATACAGAAAGAACAGTATGAGTATCTTTGTAATTTGTTACTGTTTCTAAAGATAAAATGATGCATCAGGATTACATCTTAACATGTACTAAGTTTCCACTTCACAAATCAGTTTCAGAGGACGAAATCAAAATGAAGTGTACAAAATAAATACCTGTAATCTATTACGTAACAGTGAACATGTACCAAACTGCCCTTCACCATCAAAAGCGAATGTAGGTTTTATTTGTTGACCTCGATGCAGTCCTGGCACTTTGATGCGAAAATGAATAAATATAAAAATTATGTATCTAATGTGGTTTTAGGTTTTGGATGGCTTGTAGCTTAACGCCGCACTCAGCAATATTCCAGTCGCCTCTTACGACAAACATGGCTTGCTGCAAACCCTGATCTCAAGCTATATGGTCGTCAATTGTACGTGCATCCTTTCGTATTTTCAGCAGGCTTCTTTGTGGGTGAGACGTTACTGAGGCGGAGTGACTTTGACTTGAACTCCTTGAGAATGACTCAGCTGGTGTATCTTGTGTATGTCAAGACAATTATCAAGCACGCTTTCCGTGAATAGTTGCCACCCAGGTATCATTACGATATCATAAATATACATGTTGATGTCTGAAGTTGTAAATATAGTCACGGATTCTTCTGTACCCATAATGTCTCTTTTGATGAAATAATTGATCTGGTATGTAAAACTTCAGGTACATACAAGATAGTGTCTCAGAAAACAAATATGTCGGCTTGATCACAGGGGCGTGTCACGCTTAGAAAGAGCGTCAGAAAGACATATAAGTATACAGACCCTACCCTAGTACTATATAAAAGAAAAGGGATGTAACGACGGAACCACCCCCTCCTCAATCAATGATTTGTAGATGTTGCAAAAAAATTTTAGACCCGTGGAATGGCGCTGCCGATCGAATCTAGCCCTACATAGGTGCTGTCAACGTGGCTGGAATTAATAAACGAATTTAAAAAGTGAGTTTTCGCTGTCTTGGGTGATCCATGATTTTGGCTTGGAATTGGCCGTAGGCCTCGACGGGGCCTTAAAAATAGTTTACGTGGTGAAATCTAACTTAGACTGAGGAGGGGGTGGTTCCGTCGTTACATCCCTTTCCTTTTATATAGTACTAGGGTAGGGTCTATATACCTATATGTCTTTCTAACGCTGTTTCTAAGCGTGACACGCCCTGTGGGCTTGATTTACCCATGAAGTCAGAAAGAGCCTGTAGCTCCTTCTTAAACATCTGTGTCACTTCCTCTTCTGTGTGGCGACCCAAACCTTGATACCATGTTGAATTTGCAACCATATACTTGGCAATCCGTACAACAAACCATCCTATCTTCAACGTTTGCTTAATAAAGGTTTTGTCGTTGTCATATTGGTAGCGGAATAGAGCAAGGAACCTGAAACACAAATCTAACTGTTCATTATCATTAATATTTATTCGTGTATTAACCATAGGATATAACGTTCTTTTACATGGCCTGGTTAAAGAGTATTACTACATGTATTAAAGGGAAGTTCCGACGTCGTGCGTCCGCTTCCAGTCAAGGTCCAGACTGTAATTAGCGTGAAGCAAGGGACATCGTCAGTCATCAACAGCTTAAGTGACATATACTGAAGGAAATAAATAAGGGAACACCACTTCATTGCAGTGTTCCTCAGATTTCCTCCCACAGCGCCATTCATCACAAGCTGGTGATGAAAACTGGAATATATTAAAGGAACGCTTGAACTGTCCTGTGTTCCTTTATTTGTTTCCCTCAGTATATTTGAAATGATTTGGAAAAGTATGTTTTAAGTGATAATAAATGAGACTTTCCCAATATTTACACAAAATATATTCAAAATACCTTCAGTCAACGATGTTAATCAGCAGGGGGGGACTTTTATATGATATTTTAACTTCATCGAGAACACGACCTTTCACACAGAAACGGTTATTGCTATTTGAAACCTCAAATCGATCGGGCACATGTACGTGTTTTTTTTTCCAAATTCATAGTAGAATGTATCTTAATGGTTTCATTGTACCGATCCTAACAAACATTTTCTAGGCTCACCAGTACAGATGTTCCTCCGTCATGACCTGCATTGCCATAGCTGCACCCTTGTCCCGGGGACTCAGGTGCTGGTGGAGGTCCACTTCCAGCTTTTCGTTCAGGAAGTCAATACATAATGTCGAATCCGCCACAGCCTTCCCATTATACTCAATCCAGGGGACCTTGCCCTTAGATGACATTTTCAGCCCTTGGAGGTTCTGAGTGGAAGATCACAGAGCAAAAGTTACTTGTACTATTAATTCAAGGCTCTTTCAAATTACATTTTATTACCATATGTGGCTTACATGAGGACATCTTAAATAAACAAACAAACAAACGTGAAGATGGCAAAATACTAATCCTGAGAGACAGAGATTGATACTTTTCATTCTGTATCATTCCCCAGTCCCATTAGCAATACCAGCAGGGTAACATTGACATGGAGGGTTCATCTCGCTACTGGACACAAATTATAGAGCATTTCAGACATGCTTTTGGACCCTGTTGGTGCCTAACACAGCAGCCAAATATCTGTACGATCTGATTTTGTTTGCTTGTTGTTGCAGCACTCAGCAATATTCCAGCTGTCTGTAAATAAAAGAGTCTGGACCATGATCATCGATCTCTTATCGATGTGTCAACCATGTCAGCAAGCCTGATCTCATTGGTCTGCTCTTACGACAAGCATGGGTTGCTGAAGAACAATAATATTATTCTAATCCGGATCTTCACGTTTCTGTACGATCTGCGATGATCTGACCACCAACGTGCCACAGCCACGTTCAAATTACCAAACTTTCGGGGGGCGGTGGGGTAGCCTAATGTTAAGGCGTTCGCTCGTCACGCCGAAGACCCGGGTTCGATTCCCCGCATTGGTACAATGTGAGAAGCCCATTTCTGGTGTACCCCGCCGTGATATTGCTAGAATGTTGCTAAAACCGGCGTCAACCCATACTCACTCAGTAACTCATTGAAACTCTGGCATTGTAGTCAGAGTAGTCGGAGTCGAGTTATGCGTATCGGGTGGTAACAATGTGTACCTGGCTGACTGTGTATAATGGTCTGTTGCTTGGATGGTTTGTTCTGTCCTTCCCAGTGGTTTACCTCACTCACTCACTCAACACATCATTCACCACCTGGTAGGGTATCCTGGCCATCCGGAGATAGGTTTCCAGCTTCACAGCAAACGGCGTCATGCTGGGGGCGTAAGGACCTCTACCGATCTGATGAAGGATCACCGTATCTCGGGGATACTCCTTCGCCTTCTGCCTGTGGAATATTGGCATAGTGTTCTCAATATAACAACCAAATTGTCTATCCAATAGAAATATATTGAATTTATTAGCTTAAGTTATCAAGCACCGTGCTGTTTTACAAAAGAGCATATGTTCGACGTACAAATAATATTTGTTGCATGTCGATACTAAAGTGATGTCTGTTGTTAGGTAGTTATCATAGGTGGTACACAACCAAGTGAAAAGGGGTTGTTATAAGTGCGTATAAACAAGTTGGTCCGTCTTAATGCCGTTAAGAGTGAGTGAGTGAGTATGGTTTTTACGCCGCTTTTAGCAATATTCCAGCAATATCATGGCGGGGGACACCAGAAATGGGCTGCACACAATGTGCCCATGTGGGGATTGGAACCCGGGTCCTCGGCGTGACGAGCCAACACTTTAACCACTAGGCTACCGCACCGCCCCTTAATGCCGTTAAGAAGGGTGGTGGGGTAGTTGAAGAGTTCGCTCGTCAGGCCGAAGACCCAGGGTCGATTCGACACATGGGTACAATGTCTGAAGACCATTTCTGGTGTCACCCGAAGTAAAATCGCTGGAAAATTGCTAAAAGGGATGAAAAACCATATTCACTCACTCATTTAATGCCGTTTTGAACCTTACTTTTCAGTTATATCACGGTTTGAAACCTATATTGAAACAGCTACTTATTTTCTAATTATTCGGAATTACAAATGTCCAGTGGACTTTGAAAATAATCAGAACCATTTTTGCGCCTGCCTACCTTACACAACATATGCACAACTATGAAAGAGCAGCAATGGGCTATTGTCAATATATCAATATGAATGGCTAAAGTCAAGAATATTTCACTTGAAAATGCCATGTTACGTACTGCAATCACGTGGTTCAGCACCTATACAGTCGGATTGAACATTTAGTGAGTGAGTCAGCGAATTTAGTTTGACGCCGCACTCAGCTGTATTCCAGCTATATGGCGGTGGTCTGTAAATAATCGAGTTTGGACCAGACAATCCAGTGATCAACAGTATGAGCATCGCAAATGGAAACCGATGACATGTGGCAACAAAGCCAGCGAGCCTAACCACCCGATCCCGTTGGTCGCCTTACGACAAGCACGGGTTACTGAAAGCCAGGGCCCCGTTTCTCAAATCGATCGTAACGCTACGACAGTCGTAAGTCTATGTTAAAGCGTGGGGGTCGCGATCTAAGCGCTACGATCGCTTTGTGAAACGGGGCCCAGATTATTTACAAACCGCCGCCATATAGCTGAAATATTGCTGAGTGCGGCGTAAAACTAAACACACTCACTCACTAATGAAGGTCAATTCTAACCCGGACCTTCACGGGTCGAACATGTAGCTCTAAAGGATAATTACCATTTAACTTTGACATATGTTTGTCTCGAACCCTTAATTTTATAAATTATAAGATGTAATCCCCATTGTTAATCCTTATCACTGATGTTTTGTACATTTATAGACAGTCATGCTGTCCTGTGCTGTGGTATCATTAATCTGTGTCTTAAACTGGTTTAATGCATGTACATGTAGACATAGTTTATTCTTGCAACCAAAAGATATGTAAACATAACCATTTCGTGCATCATATGTGTATATAACATACATAAGTTGTACATAATAATTATTTAGACATGTACCTCTGGTGCCGCGATCGGAGTGTGTACAAATTTCAATTCACTCGAGTGACTATATTGGTCCCGGAACAAAGAGCGGGGACTCACCCCTAGCCTAGGTGGGGTAATTCACATTATTCACAGCTCTTACGAAATACATGTTATTACCATATGAGGCTTATATGAGGACATCGTAAACAAACAAACAAATGTGAAGTGGCAACGTAGTAGTATTAATCCAGAGAGACAGAGACTGAAAACTTTTCTTCCTTAATCATTTCCAATTAGCCTACGGAGGGTAAGGCTTGGTGCTCTAGGGAACCACGGCCACCACAACTATCAGTGTGTGCTGACCTGGCGAATAGTTCTTCTGGTATATATATCTACCTGCCCAAAACCAACTAATATTTACAGACTACTATATACTCAATGTTATCAGATTCACACCGAGAGTGAGTGAGTTGGGTTTTACGCAGATTTTAGCAATATTCCAGCAATATCACGGTGGGGGACACCAGAAATTGGCTTTGCACATTCTACTCATCCAGGGAATCGAACCCGGATCTTCCGCATGACGATCGAACGCTTTAAACACTATCTACGCCACCGCCCCTCACACCGAGAACCGTACACTGTCATCATGTACATAGGAATCTGCACGTATTGATATTCAAGGTCAATGTAAGCGTGTTTAGCACACCCGCAAACCGCCTGTTGTTATAGTAACCAGAAAACCTGGTAACCCAGTGCGATAATCCAGAACCTTTAAAAGGGTCTAACATATTTGAATAATGACTGTTAAACTCTGAAAATATGTCTCTTTCTGTTCACGACCTGGATTTCGGTTTGGGTGCTTGTTCTAACTTTTGACCTTTGACCTTTCGTTCTCAGTCACTGAAAGTTATGTATATCGAAAAGGCGATCGAGGTCAGGGCTGTACCGAAAGATTTTATTATTTTAAATAACACAGTACTTTTGTTTACTGTTACATATAGGTACAACTTCATACATACATAGACTAAGGCATGCAGCCCTTTCCGTTTGATACAAAAACTGTACTGTGATATACCCGGCGAGTTTTCTCTGGGTATCAAAACAATCGTTCACCGGTGGTTTCCGCAGCTGACTTGATAACTAGATCTTACTACATACTTTAACAAGAGCTTCCTGAGGACGACGACCGATGCAACAGCTACTACAACACCTCCGACTGCATATGCAATTTTCTGTGACCCGTCTACGAAAGTGTCCAAATGTCCCTTCCATGGTTCGTGAATCGTCGACAAGTATGTACCTGATCTGGATACCGGCCGTACGTGGGTGAACACATCGACCTGAATAACTCCAAACATTCACTCTCTGGTAAGCCACTGTCAACGTACGTCGCTTCGAGAAGGTGCATATATGTTCATCAAAGTATTTCGTTTACACAGTGAACAGTGTTCAAGTTTTATCAAGTTTCAAGAAAAGGAATAACGGATACATTGGAAACATGAATTTGTTTATATCTTCAAATCGTGTTCTAATGGTAGTATAAAAATTATAAATAACAGCAACTATTTTCAATTATATACATCATCAAATCCGTACAGTCAGTGAGTGAGTTTTGTTTTACGCCGCATTTAGCAATATTCCAGCAATATCACAGCGGGGGGCACCAGATATGGGCTTCACACACTGCACCCATGTGGGGAATCGAACCCGGTCTTCGGCGTGACGAGCGAACGCTTTAACCACTAAGCTACCCCACCACCCCGTGCAGTCAGCAGAACTGATGCATTCACCTGGGGGGGGGGAGGTAAAGAGTTTATGCTATAGCAGAAATATCACACTCAAGCACATATGGCAAACAAATAAAATGTTGCACGACAGTTATAAAAACTAAAGATGTAATGGTCCTGTAACGACGTACATTTGACCACACCTGACCCATGCTGACTCTTAATCTTTGAATATTTACTTCCTTTGAAATTGTATAGGAGCCCCAGTAAGAAGGGAGATTCAGAACCTGAGGAAATCTAGACTTGCTTCATACAGTGCTTTCCGCTGCAGAAAGGGCGAAGCGGAAAATAAAATAATGCGAATCAGAAACTGTGAGACGGACTATGTTTGACCCTACACAACGAGCACGCGTATTGTGTTGACATAGAGGGGCGAGCTTGTATTCCAACCCATACTTCAGTGGACATTTTGCACGACGCTCTGCAGAGCGACGTCGACAACTGGGTCACCCGTTTGTTTAGGGAAATATCGAGTGAGTATCTCTTGACTAGCTATTCACAAGAGATACTTACTTGAAACATAGTTTCCTCAGGCCGACGAGCGATACGGTTGATACGACAATACCTCCGACAACATACAGTACTTTCTGTGATGTGTCCAGGTCAGTGAAACTATCCACGATACTCTCCATCGTTTTCTGGGTATGTCAGTGAACCTACGCTGTGTTAAACTGGCCGACCTAAATAACATCCACCATGATTATCGGTATTTCAAGATCATGTTGAAAAGGGGCATAAGTGGTAAGGGCCTTGGACTGTCAGTTGGATCGGGTAGATAGACAGTCGTTTTCGCCCTTATTTTCGTTGTGTAGGGTCAAACATAGTCTGTCTCACAGTCCTTCTTTGTCTTTTTCTCTCTATAAAATATTGTAATAGATCAAGGAACAGCTGATTATTCTCACTTGTCGCTGACATAAACTTAAAGGTGCTCGACTGTATATTTTTTTCTGTTCAGGAGACTCCTCGTGTATTATAAACAATATTAGACTGCATTCCGGCTGCTTGTACTAGCCCAGATTTAAGCTGGTTTTATAGAGCTCGCTCACTGACATGCCATGCCGTAGTTAAGCATGAATACACCACTCAGACACATTATAAAGACTCCGAGCCGACCAGTCATTGTTGTACCCATCAATGCCGAGCGCCAGGCAGGGACCAACAAGTACCATATTTTAACGCATGTTGGTATGACGTGACCGAAGATCGAACCCGCGAGCTCCCGCCCTCCAGGCGGATGCTCTAACCACTACACCACGGAAGCGGCCCATTGTACTATTTTAAAACAGTCACGAGTAGCATATCGGTTTAAAATCATGGAACACTAAATTACACAGTGTATGTCGTACAATGACCGGGTTACAATACTTTAAGTTTATGTCAGCGACAAGTGAGAATAATCAGCTGTTCCTTGATCTATTACAATATTTTATAGAGAGAAAAAGACAAAGAAGGCCTCGACACGCTGAAGACCCGAGTTCTATTCCCCTCATGGGTGAATCCCACACTCACACTCACCCACTCTGAATCTGGTCCAAGAAAGCAAGTTGTTGACTGCATGAGCAGCGATTCATACCCCTAGCTGTTGCACAAAACACATATTCAGTTGGATCAAGCACCAATACCCCAATACTTTATGAATCACTTTAATCCTAAGCCATGTAAGTGTCAGTTTTCTATATGAAAGTTTGATCGTCCACACAGAACGTCCATGGATTTCAACCTTCATCAAAAGGCAAATTAACTTGGATTGAGTATAATGGACAGGCAGTAGCGGACTCTACACTGTGCATCGAGTTCCTCAACCAGAACCTGGGAGTGGACCTCAACAGGAACCTGAGTCCTGCTGAGAGAGGAGTAGCTCTGGCGATGCAGGTTATGGCGGAGGAACATCTGTACTGGTGAGAAACAGTCAGTTGGTGCCATTTAATTTGTCTGTCCATCGTAGCCATTACGGCAAACATTGATTGCTTGAATAATCCTTGTATATGATAGCGGTGTGTATATGTCGGAACTAGACAATGCTGTGATTAACATCATGCTCATTCTATCCTGTGCTTCGATCTCTTAGGCGGGTAACCTAGTGTTGAAAGCGTTTGTTCGAAGACCCGGGTTCGATTCCTTACATGGGTACAATGTGTGAAGCCCATTTTGGTGTCTCCCGTGATATTGCTAACGCCGCGTAAAACCAAATTCACTCACTCACTCACGTAACGGCGTCAAACGAAAATACGTTAATACACGATGTAAGATGTGTTGTAACTTTCAACAGGTGTTATGTTTTAGGGGGACACATTACGTCTTTAAGATAAACTTCTGGCAATTTCCATCATAGGTTGCTTGCATGAATGAATAGTGAATGAGTAGTACTGTGGTACTGTGGTTTCAGGTTCCTTGTCCTCTTCCGATGGCAATATGACAACGACAAATCTTTGATGCTGAATGCTTTTAAAATAGGCAAGTTTATGTTTTGGATGTTTCAACGACAAGTAAAAAGGCAAATATGGAGTCAAGGCTTGGGCCGACACATAGAAGAGGAGGGAACAGAAATGTTTAAGAAGGATCTACAATCCCTGTCGGACTTCATAGGTATGCAGAAGTTTTAAGCTGTTGTGAACTGAATTATATACAGAGACGTTAAATATGTTTAAACAGCGAGGGTAGGTTCCGATGGACCAAAATATAAACTTGACACTTGTTATATCGAAACCGACAATGGCAATACAGACGATGGGATCTGGATTGCATCATAACTGAAGTGGGAAAATATTGCATGACGTTCCATGACCTCCTCCACATGTGTTGAATAGGATGAAACTGCATTCTGAAATTTGGCACTTGTGGTGTGGTTTGTCATATTTCAGGAGCGATGATACTTTGTTTCATGTGATTTGTTTTGTTTCAATATATTCATCTGTCCACACATGCTGGTTGTTCCAGGGACCAAGAAGTTCCTTATTGGGGACCAGCCCTGTGAGACGGACTGTGCGGTGTTCGGTATGGACTATATATCTTGTTAGTCCATACCCTCCTACAATATATGTCTTGTGTCCTCAATAAATCAATAGTCCTCGACAGAGTAGGAGAGGAAGTCATCAAACTGAAACTGTGACCCATCCTCTTGTTCTCCCTCAACAGTAAGATAGCCCACATACCTGCCAGATAGTAGGTACCTTAGTTCCTTGTGAAATATTAACCTTACACGACTCCTGTTTGGCCACACAGGAGCCGAATCATAAAGCAGTCATTTTGACATAGGCTACACATTCTGATGATTTATGACATGGCGGTATTTATTCCTTTGTGTTCGCCACCGCTATGTATTCCTTTATAACTTTGTTTTAGAACCATGCATGCCATCCATATCAACGACGTCAGAGATGTGTGTTACTTTCTTAATGAAAGAATATTCATTTTCCTTGAAGAGAGGTATCAAATATAGAACGTCACTTGGAATGAATTATCCAATCTTGTCTATCCTCAGAAACAAATTCTGTATGGTGTATATGGGGAAACAGGTGTGAAAACTATATCAATAGATCACTGCAAATTAGTGTTCAGGCCAGGTGTTCGTTAGAAGGGTACGAATGCCCTGCCAACATCAGTTCGTCCAGCTGTACAATTCTAGCCTGCATGACCCAAAAGAATGATGATTGTTATAAGGTTTGTAAGAGATCCTGAAATGTACAACGTTGCATTTCGATCAATCAGTTCGATTGTGCTTATTGTAAGTCTGAAATATCAGACTATTTCACATCAGTAGTTCTAAAGTCATACTTGATCACAGTGTCCAATCTCGTCAACTAACAATTAACTTGACCAAACAATTGCAAACGCTCTCAAACCGTTGCTAACTTTCCGCTTTAGGTACGTAACCAATCTCTAGACTAACTGTTTCATTTTAACCACTATCAATATACTTTTCTGGATGCAGCTTATGTTGCAAATAACAAACAATATTGATTTTAGTCAGAACACCTTTGTGTGTACACATCGCCTTATCAAATTGTTTCAGTGGAGCATATTATCCTGGTCCAGATGTTTTCATTCAATTTACATTCAGCTATTAGCCTGTGCCACTAACTGATATCAATGGCTATTTCCTCTGCCCAGAAACCACCTTGTTGCAGGTTGGCTGTTTGGACAGTATATCACAGGAAGTTTACAACCGGGCACTGGGAAATTAATTGCCTCTGCATCTTAACCCAAGGTGAGAAGATAAACTGTTTCGAATATGATTATATGGAAGAACATATCAGACTATCTGTGCTTTGAACAATGGAATCATGTCATTGTCATTGTTTTCTAGCATAGAGATTACAGGTAGAATTGAACCCCAGTAATCTGTATGCCTTACGTTGACTACAATACATGTATTTCTAGATCTGTGGTCAGTTTCTGTGAGTTGACTGCGTGTAATTGTGCCTGAATTACATGGACAGTAGCTCATATTTGTGCATGTACAGATCTAGACTGACATTTGGTCCCAGAAATATATTTTATACTAAATATCCAAATGGAACTCATTACAATGTGTCATTTTCTAGAACTGAGGCAATCAAGACTTGCCAAATCATTCTAAACTCGAGACGGACTCCTATTCAATATATCCTCGAGGGTCTGGTAGACGGACTTGCTCAGACCAACAATCGCTGATTTCAACAAGACAATTCAAAGGGGAGTATTCAGCAAGATGTCTTCAGGTATCAGAAGGATTTACGATTGCATCCCCTTCTCACTCTACTGGGTTCCAATTCTCTGCAGGTTCTACGAATTCACTTATTCAAAGATACATCATCTTCTGTATTCCGGTAGGACGGAAGCCCTTGAGACTCAAACATACCGAAATATCATCTATTCCACCCATCCAACAACTTTCCGCCCCTACCCTCGTTTAATATTACCTCTTCTCTCCACACAGGACCAACTTGAAACTCGAATGAATGAATCATGAATGAAATAATGAATGAATTAGTATTAGTAAGTATATATATGCAAAACTAATTTTCCTACCTTGATTTCACTGTTATCACACTGAGCGGTTTGCAGTGGTTGTCCTCCAGGGCCTCCTTTCACAAAGCACTAAGGTATTCGTAAGTCACTAAGGTAACCTTAGTGCAGTGTTAAAGAATCGTGATCGTAAGTCACTAAGGTAATTGTAGTGCAATGTTAAAGAATGGGGGTTAAGGTTAACCTTAGTAAAGGTTGCTTCGTGAAAGCAGCCCCTGGTCACGCCTTTGCAAACAAGATGGCAGTTACTGTTACCTGGAGTCTGGATGGATCTGAATCAGTGTAATGTGTCCGTCGGGCGCATCCACATCAAGAGTGAAATCGAAGAATAGTGTCAAAACCACTGAACCAATACATTTCTTCCATTACCACGCGTGTATATTAAGAATGTTTAACTCTATCCCAGCCTCCCGAACTCCTCTTCCAAACCTCGGCATGGCCGATTGTGCCCCAGTACTGTTACTCTGCACTATCCGTAGCTGCCAATATAGTTGTGACAAAGTAACAAGCTATTTGTGTTTTGCAAAATTGCATGATCCCGATCTATAAGCTCACAATAAAGCCGATGATTTACTGTTTTCAACACGTATGCTGACACAACATCACCGTCGAAGGGTCTACCCTAAAGTATGGCTAAATACCGCTCTCTTTTGCTGAATATAATCTGGCGTTGCTCAACATGAGTAAGAGTTTGCAGTACTGCTCATTTATGAGATCGATGATAGCGTGGCCGGGAATAGTAATTGGTGAATATGATACCTCATTTTATGTTCTTTCTTCCATCATTTGTGCACGACTAACACAATAAATCACCAAACACCGTCAAAATGCGAAAAACGGTCAAATAGTTATTGAATGACTCGTGACTGCATAATCACTTGTAAATGATTTCCATAATCATAATCGTTGACAAAAGCAATCTCTTTTACCATTCCGACTGCATTATAAGCCTGAGTTGTGTTCCAAAATCTACATATATCTTAAATCTTTCTCCATACTCTCAGCAGCAGATCCTTTGCACTTGTGCGCAACAGAAGCATTTCTGTGTCGTTCGCTTTCAGAGTCTACAGTTCGATAAATTCAACATCATGAAAATCCAATCATTATATGTATTTACAGTAGATTTTGTACAATGCCCTGACAATGCTATGGCTTCATCAACGTAGATCAGGATCATACAGGGTACACAGAGAATCTCACTCAAGTGTCTACTGATATCAATTATATCAACACTCGTTGATGATGGTAAAAATATCCTCGGCAAGCCTCGCATTTTTGTTACTTTATCAACTTGTGTTGATATAATTGATATCAGTAGACACTTGGGTGAGATTCTCTATGTACCCTGTTTAGTATACACTGACAAAATCTACAGAGCATTTCTCAGCCTATGTTTTTAATCAATACTTACACATGTCTTATCACAGCGTCGATGTTTAGTTTTCCTTAGTTAAACTCAAACATATCCGCAGCGGACTCTAAAAGTGTTCCTGCAGAAAACTAATTGTTGAAGCCTGTATTTTCTCTATCTAATTTCTTCATGTTCACATCTTGTTTTGACAACAAATCCACAATGAAATTTGATTAAGTAAAAGTTCAGTTCATTCAGATCAATGAATGAACTACTGGAAGCTACTGCAGATTCAAATCCACTAATATTCATCTCCAATGTAATTCCTAAATTTTTCAAAGTGTTGCATCAGCATATTTCGACTAGTACCATAACGGTCATGCTTTTGTGGCGGGTTGCATCCAGGGCACGTAATCCTTTCTTCAAATGCCAGTCATCATCGCTGTTTGGGTCTGTCTGGAGATAGTTTTAAAAAAATGAAACCACTGTGGAACATAATTTCATGCAATGAAGTTCCACTGTTTCTTTACAGCACACCATGGGGCAGAAAGAACACAGTATGTTTTTTTTTTAAGTTCTGAAGTGATAAGTGGCTCTTCTTATTCATATAGAATTCGTTAAAAACACTTTCCATTACACTGTTATATTGTTTTATTTTCATTACACTTTTATATCGTTTTATGTCGTCACTTTTAAATTACACATTTACCGTTCTCTTGGCACAATCCGGTGGTCCTGGGATAAAACAAAATTTGTACGTCCAAAATGTACATCGCTATATCGCATGACTTGTCATCCACATCAAGCACACACGCCTCCTCCCTCACTCATACCAATAGTGTGCTGATACACTTAGGTTTGATGTTTAATATACATGTAGCTAAGGGGTAACAAAGCGAAACATGAGTCTTAACCAATTCAGACAATGACCTTCTTATCAGCCGATCCGAATTTTCTCGTGTGAAAGTGAAAAAAGACACTACAAACAACTATGGTTACACCGAATTTCAATTCCTTGTTTCATAAGAAAATGGTATTTACAAATGAATTTTAATTTTAAACTTTAAAAAGTCGTATATTTTCTATATTTTGGGACGAAGTTCAGGCAGCATGTCGTTAAATAAGACGTCACAGACTGCCCCTGTCTGAAGAGGTCGTACAATGACTCCCAATTCATTTGACTAACTGGTTACGCCTGTTATGTATTTGTGTAACGCACAATGTGATTGATATACTATCAATTCCGTACCAGTCCGCCAAACTTTTCTAGCGGCCGAGCCGCATTTTGAGGTTTCCACGATTTCCGGATTTCCGTTTGTCAGAGCAAGCTGTACGACAGAGCACGCTGCACGACGTGTTTGTCAAGGATTAGAAGGAGCATAGTGTTGCAATATACAAGTGATTAGATGTAACAAATAGTACTGATTGATATTTATATATCCAGTTGAAATAGTTGGTCTCAAAATTATGGACTGGTTATTTTGCTAAGTTGCGGAATAGGACGGATCCCAGTCAGGAGGAAACAAGAATGTTAATCAATGTTTTGACTTTTGATGTGTAGGGGGCCGATAACACGAGACAGGAAAATGTTTCAATCTAATCTACAGCTCAGGCGTGTGCACTCAGCCATTGGTTAGATAAGCAGTTTTCCTTATGATATATAATTATAAGGATCCTGAACGCTGAACAGAGCTGGTAAAGATTCGGACATGGAGCTCGTTCGGGTGAGTAATGGCGTTAGAGATAGTGAGTTTAGTTTGACGTCATTAAAAGTAATGTCTTCACGGAAGTATGCTATGAAAGTTTATAGCTCTTTGGTTAAGCACGGGCGTGGTTCTGAAAAGGCTAGTAACATAACAAGAGCGAACCTAGGACTTGATCAGAGGTATTACCATGTCTCCTCAATGCCTACTCGAAAACAGGAAGACAAAGTATTCATGGAACCCATTTTTCGTTTTCCATTGTAAATTATGTTAATGGAATGTGTGGTATTCATTGAATCTGAACTGAACCAGACGCTGTTTTTAGCAACATTCGCCACATATCACGACAGAAAAACCACATAAACACACCTCACATACGTGTATTTTACCCATGTATGGATTCGACAATATGTTTCCGTGAACGCTTCCAAACGTGTACAGAAAATATTGGAATTTGCCAGAAGGAAAGGACGACGAAACCTGTCAATGACACACGAATAAGTGTGTGTGTGTGTGTGTGTGTGTGTGTGTGTTTTGTGCGTGCATGTGGTTCATCTAGACTCTATTTAGTTGTATCGTTTGACTGCTCTAAGATATTAATCGTTGCTTATATCTTTAGCAGTATCACCAGTGTCATTTACATAAAATGATCTAGACTGGTATTGTTGAAGTAGTGCAACTGCAACTACGTTCAAATTACTGCTGTTGAAAGTGAACGCTAGTTGACAGACGCGTATTCGTACGTGGGTGCGTCCGTAAGTGCCATTCACAATTCATCTGGTTACTGGTTACACCTGTTATGTGTTTTGTGCGCTCATTCAGTATAGTTTCGTAACGCACATTGTGATTGTTATAATATCAATTTCGTACCAGTCCGCCAACGTTTCTAGCGGCCGAGCCGCATTTTGAGGTTTCCACGATTTCCAGATTTCCGTTTGTCAGAGCAAGCTGTACGACAGAGCACGCTGCACGACGTGTTTGTCAAGGATAAGAAGGAGCATAGTGTTGCAATATACAAGTGATTAGATGTAACAAATAGTACTGATTGATATTTATATATCCAGTTGAAATAGTTGGTCTCAAAATTATGGACTGGTTATTGTACTAAGTTGCGGAATAGGACGGATCCCAGTCAGGAGGAAACAA